TGCGGTTGCAAATAAATCCAACTTTGATTTTATCCCAAAATCATTTTCATGTTTATAGAAGGTAATGAACCTTTTTTATTTTTATATTGGGTAACTGCCCCATCAGAAAAAAATAATGAATTTTTGTTACTCTGCCAGATCTTTCTTTAAAGATAAGATGAATTTTGCTTGAGATAAATAAAATGCAGATGCGCTATCCTTCAAACAATCTGATAAAACGATACAATTTACTTGTTTAATCAAGCTGTCTTAACAATAATAAACCATTCAAGATAAGTAGTGGCCTGGCTATTGGCCCATAGGAATCCTTAGGATGACCCTGCACTAGAGGTCTGCAAAGTAATTTTTAGCAGCCCGACCCAAGCCCGAATTTAAAAAACGTTATTGTCCGAGCCTTACCCGAGCACACATTTTTTAGTCCAACCTGAGCCCGAATAAAATTATACAATTTGAGTTTGAATATTATAATAACCATATTCATCGCCACCTTAAATAAAAGTTTATTTGACGGCCATAATCTAATCAAGATATATATTAAGTTGCATTTTATTTAATTTGTAAAAAATATTATAAATAAGTTAAAATACAATCGAATCTAAAATATATAAATAATCATATTTTCATATATTTGTTATCAGCACATCGACCATATTTCATATATGCATTTAATTTCGGAAATAATTTATTGCGTATACCATCAGTAGTCGTGAGATTTGGAATAATGCTTTTAACATCTATATTTCCATATATTGAGCCAATTTTGGCAAAATATTGGCAACAATCAACAAAGCCTTCCCCGTGAATTGCATCAAATGATCTCAAATCACGTCCACAAAATATGGTTAGCACCTTTCAACTCTTTTTTTAATTTAGCATAATTTTTGAGTTTTTTGGGATCAGTATCAAAAACGCTTAAAGTCCTTTTACTCTCTATAAATATGTATTTATGCCTTTTTAGTTGATTTATGCCTAAAATAATTTCATAATATCTTATATTTTATGTATGTTGTTATAGAATAAGCATATTTTTGCAAAAATTTCAACTTATATAATTAAGTTTTTCTTTGTTTTCATCATATATAAATCAAAACGTTTTCCAGACTGCAAATTTGCCATTGGCAATTTCCCTTACTTCATATTCATTGCTCTTAATCTTTTCACCAATTTTTTTTAATTTGGCATCCATTGGAATAAATTTTTTAATATGAAAATATGAGGCTATTTAATTAAATAGATATTAGTAAAATATATTTTATTTAACTTGATAGAATATGATGAAAGTTAAGTATATAATAATATTGTTAACTATGCAATGCAATATACTAAAATATAATCACATAAAATTGGTATATGGTTGTTATGTAAATTATAAAATCATAATTGAAAATGACATGTTATTCTGATTGATATTTTTAGAATAAAATGTAATAAATAAAATATGATATGGTTTTATAAATGACATTATGAATTATAATGATAATTTAGGATATTTATATATTTTTTGAGTCGGGTCGGGCAGCTCTTACAATCCGACCCGAGCCCGAAAAATATTTTTAATGTCCGAAGACAACCCGAGTCTCGAGCTCGGGTCGTCTTCGGACAGTTCGTGCACTTCTCTACCCTGCACTACAAATGCATGATTTTCTTAAGGGTTAGTAATAAATAAGAATTCGTCAGCACTTAAATTGGATTTTAATGAATTTTGAAATAAGGATTGTTGTGATTTGTGAAGCTATCTAAATAATCTATAAATTAGTTGGCGGGCTTTGTCAGCATGTTAAGAAAAGATATATAATCTATTGAATTCGCATCAAATAATAAATTGTCTCTTTTATTTTTGATTTAAGCTAATTTCAAGAGAAATTAACTAAAATGTTGAACAAACCATTATACTTCATAACCCCCCCCCCCCCCCAAAAAAAAAAATTTCAAGATCCATTATCAAGCTATATAATAAAATTTAAATTATTGCTTTAACTTTTTTTTGAGAGATTTGAAAGTTATTGAAGTGCATTTTGTCAAAATGTACCAATTTTAACCTCTATAAGGATTATAAGGAAGTAAAATTTCATTTTTTTCTAAGTGATTGTATATACAACCAATGTACAAAATTTTTAAAAAATCGGAGGGGGGTCGGGTTGAAAATATATTTTTTGGTTGATTTGATATGGAATTCACTATACATAAATGAATCTTTAGAAAATGTCATTTAATCAACGTTTAGAAGTAATATTTAATCTATATTACAAAGATCAATTAATAATAAAATTTTATAAAAAATAAGGAATATAGAAGGTCTAATAAATCCATAACCATTGTGTCATAATTGGGAGACTTTGATTTGTAAAATTTGATTTTTGGTAAAGTCAGTATGTATTGCGTTTGATGAGTCATTTTTATTTTTATAATTTTATGTTTTATTTAAATTGGTGAGTCATTGTTATTTTTATAATTTTATGTTTTAGTTTAATCGCGTTAACATTTTATTTTTAGATTCATAAAAGTTAATTATTGTAAAGTCATTATGATGATGGGATAATTTATAATTTCTAAAAATGAATTTTTATCAGCTCCGTGAAGTTGGCCGAACGATTGGAAGCACTAACGATGAATCATATGTCATTTTTAGTGCTTCGTTAGTGCTTCAATCCGTATAGTAGCCGAATTTAAGGAAAAAAAGTTATAGGCAAAAATAAAAATTTGTGCCAACTTCACGCTTAAAAGTCGATTGGAAGCACTAACGATGAAACTTATATCATTCTTTAGTGCTTCGTTAGTAGAGGTTAGTGCTTCAATCCATTTTGTAGCCGAATTTATGAATAAAAAGTTATTCACAAAAAAACAAATATTGGCGAAGTGCCAAAACAAAAACTAGAGTAGTACTTAACATCCGGTTTGTACCATTATTTAGTGCTTAATTAATGTATTTAAATTCCATTATTAATTTAGTTAACCGCCATATGGAAAAAAAGTTAATAGCTAAATAAAAATTATGACGTCACGATAAGCGTGAAGTTGGGCGAACTTTTGGAAGCACTAACGATGAAACTTATATTATTCTTTAGTGCTTCGTTAGTAGAGGTTAGTGCTTCAATCAGTTCCGTAGCCGAATTTAAGAATAAAAAGTTATTCACGAAAAAAACAAAAATAAACAAATAATGGCGACGTGCCAAAACAAAAACTATAATAGTACTAAACATCCGGTTTTCGCCATTATTTAGTATATTTAAATTCCGTAATTTATTTTATTAACCGTCATATGAAAAAATTGTAACACGCTAAAGAAATTTTTAGAGGTCAAATTTCGGCTAGAAAATTATGAAAGCACTAACGATGAAACTTATATCATTCTTTAGTGCTTCGTTAGTAGAGGTTAGTGCTTCAATCAGTTTTGTAGCCGAATTTAAGAATAAAAAGTTATTAGCAAAATAAAAACTATGACGTCACGATTTAGGCTTGAAGTTGGCCGAACTTTTGGAAGCACTAACGATGAAACTTATATCATTCTTTAGTGCTTCGTTAGTAGAGGTTAGTGCTTTAATCAGTTCTGTAGCCGAATTTAAGAATAAAAAGTTATTCACGAAAAAAACAAAAATAAACAAATAATGGCGACGTGTCAAAACAAAAACTATAGGAGTACTAAACATCCGGTTTTCGCTATTATTTAGTGCTTAATTAGTGTATTTAAATTCCGTTATTAATTTACTTAACCGCTTTATAAAAAAAAAGTTATAAGCTAAATAAAAACTATGACGTCACGATTTAGGCCAGAAGTTGGCCGAACTTTTGGAAGCACTAACGATGAAACTTATATCATTCTTTAGTGCTTCGTTAGTAGAGGTTAGTGCTTCAATCAGTTCCGTAGCCGAATCTATATATATAATCCTCAAAAAATGTCAATCAAATTTAGCCAATAGTTTTCTTTTAAATATTATTTGTCCAATCAAAATGATTATAGCAGTCACAGTCACAACTGTGACATTATATAGTCAATTATTTTGTCTTAATTGATGTCAAATATATTGTTCTTTCTATATATCTATAATTTATCTATCTATCTATCATAGCAATTTTTAGCCAATTTAGATCATATTAGCAAAATGGATTTAATCTCCTATAAATCATGGAAAGCATTTCAGAAGTATTTTGAGGCAATAGGCAGGAAGGAACATTAGTATGAAAAAAATGTTTGCAGATAATCCTACAAGAGCTAAGGAATTCAAATCTATAATATATATATTCAATAAAAATCATCATAGCTTAAACATATCAAACACGCATTCATAAACCAAATCGAACCGCCATTTTCAAAAAAAGAATTTCAATACAAAAAACAATTACAAAACATATAATAATATAATAATTACAATAATTGATATTTTTTTTAACAGACACAACATCGAGCAAAACCTTCAATCATCAGTAAATAATTATATTTTTTAATAGACACCACAGCGAGCAAAACCATATACTTTCAATTTACACATCTTAATCTTGAAGATACTGAATCAAGAACAAATTGAACATTACATATACTTACGTTTTATCTGAGCATCTTATTTTATATTTGAAAATTCATTTATCTATTCTATTTTACCCACGTTAAGTGGCAGATTTAGGGAAGTTAAAATTTTTATAAATACTATTTTTTAGATTCCTGTACAAAAAACAAACTTACATAATAAATACATATAATATTAAATAAGTTTTTTAAGGTTATCTCATAGGCAATGTAAGTTAAAATTTTTATAAATACTATTTTTTAGATTCCTGTACAAAAAACAAACTTACATAATAAATACATATATTAAATAAGTTTTTTAAGGTTATCTCATAGGCAATGTAATTTAAAATTTTTATAAATGCTATTTTTTTAGATTCCTGCACAAAATACAAACTTACATAATAAATACATATAATATTAAATAAGTTTTTTAAGGTTATCTCATAGGCAATGTAAGTTAAAATTTTTATAAATACTATTTTATTATTTTTTTTAGATTCCTACACAAGATACCATTCAACAAAACCAAACACTGGAACGTTTCATACTACCAAAATCTAAAGGCATTATTGCTTCAACAAGAGTAAATTTTATATTTTTAAGATGTGATTCCGAAATATATATTTATTAGGTGAGGGGCTATTCTAATATTTTCCATTATTTTTTATAAATATGTTTATGAAGTATATATTTAGTAATTTTATTTTATGTCCACAATAATAAATATTTTAAACTAAACTTATTTTTATAAAATTGAGTAATTCTTATATTTTTATTAATAATAAATCAACATAAGGAGAAAGCTAGAAAGAGACAGAAAAGGAACGAGCAAAGTCTTATTCCTACAACATCCAACCATCTTGAAGATACTGGAAATAAACAATTTGCTTCAACATCCAATCATCTTGAAGATACTGAAAATCAAGAACAAGTTGAACATTACTGTGGGCCATTAAAATCTATTTTATTATTTTTTTTAGATTCCTACACAAGATACCTTTGGTGCAATATCTAAGTATAATTTTTTCAGTGATCCTATATCAATAAAAACAAATCAAGTTAAAAATTTTAATTTATGACAATAAATAAATTTATTTAAATTAGATTCCACGGATCATATTGCCGAAATGTGCCATTCAACGGACTCTTAATCTACCCAAATCAATAAAAACAAACGAAGTTAAAAAATTTAATTTATGTTATCAAATAGATTTTTTTAAAATTAGATTCCACGATATATATTACCGAAATGTACCATTCAGCAGAATCTTAATCTACCAAAATCAATCAAAATAAACCAAGTTAAAAATTTTAATTTATGTTAACAAATAAATTTATTTAAATTAGATTCTACGAATCATATTACCGAAATGTACCATTCAACAGAATCTTAATCTACCCAAATCAATAGAAACAAACGAAGTTAAAAATTTAATTTATGTTAACAAATAAATTTTTTTAAATTAGACACTACCAAAATCTACTATTCACCAAAATCTTAATCTACCCAAATCAATAAAAACAAACCAAGTTAAAAATTTTAATTTATGTATAACAAATATTTTAATAAATATAAATTTCTGAATCACATCTCATAAGATAGATAAGAAAATTTTTGATTTATCCATCATCAGGGGTTATTCAAAATTTATTATTTATCTATGAAGTATATGGTTATTAATTTTAATTTATGTCCACAATAAAAAATATATTCAAATAATAAAAAAGAAAATTCTTATTTCACTATCATCTTGACGGGCAAAATATAAGATAAAATAAGTATGTGCTACATAATCGTAATTACCCATGGAATATTTTAGAAAAAATTATTATAAGCCTGGCATATGTTTACATCAGAGCCGGTGTATTGATTGTGAAATCAATACCCATTGTAACTTCAATACCCATTGTAACTTCAATACCCATTGTAACTTCAATACCGTATTGATATCATTATAGATTCAATACCGTAGTGATATATTGCTATTGTAGAATCAATACCGTATAGATTTTTAAGATGTTTGCATCGCTTCAAATATATTGGCGACCATTAAAATTATAAAATATTTATTTATTATATATTTTTTCATCGCTTTATAAATATTGGCGGCCATTTTTCCTAATCTCCCTTAGCTGTACCTAGGCCAGCTTCTTATAACATAACTATAAATCGTAAGCACACACCACATTCAATTCTATTTTCTATAAAATTTACAACTTAAAGATTTGTATTTAAAATAATTAGACTTTAGAATAAAATTTGTGCATTTAAAATTAATTTTTATTTAATTTAATTTTTCTATAAAATTTTATTCTAAGTTAAATATATTATTTAAAAAAATTATACTAAAATGATGACCACTTTCTATATCAAGACACCCTTCTCTATGATCCAAGTAAAAAAAATTTTTTTTTATTAAAAAAATTGTTGTGAAAAGAAATAGAGACCTTCATAGGCCTAAAATTTAGGCCCAAGCCCGGCCAAAGCCCTATTGCAAAAAATTCCAAAGAATCCAAGCCCGGCCCAGGCCCGCTAGAAAATATGTAATTAGGACTGTAAGCCGGCCCGGCCCATGAAGATCTCTAAAAGAAATTAGTTTTTTTTATAAAAAGAATATGAGGTTTAATTTAATTTTTTTTATATATACTAGTAGAATTTGTTTAAGAGTAATTTGTGTGAAAAGAATTAATTTTTTTTGTATAAAATGAAAGATGGATAAATCTACTTTATTAAGAGTAGATTTTGATTTAAAGGGGGGGGGTGGATCGTGAAAAAAATTCTAATAGCGGGAAACATTTTTATAGTAATATTTTATGCCTCGATGTAGGTAAACCAGTCGAATCTAGGTAACCCACTAGCAGACTCCTGGTTAGAAATGTGGATGTCACAGCAAGAGATTCCTAACATACCTATTGTTCAACCGATTATCACTCATCGGTTCTCCTAAATCTTCTTCTTGGCAAAGATCCATTTTCCCGACAGTTGAATATTTTATGTCCCAGACGACCACACAAGAAGCACGTTGGAAGAGTACGTTCTTGTTGCCTAAATACCGCATTTCGTTCTAAATGAATACCTCCGGTACGAATAAACGGGGCACTGTAGAGTCGGGACACATTAGGTACATTTCGACTAGTGCCCTCGCGGGATTACCAAAAGAGTCGGTGGCTAACACAATCAGGATTCCTTTGTCGGAAACAGGTGATAAAGCCTCGACAAGTGGGATAAGACAGCAAGCTCATTCAAGGACATCATCTGAAGTCCAAAGAATGGAAGAGCTCATGCTAGGGCAGAGCGATGATGAAAATAAAAATTCCGATCATCCTTTGGGAAAGGATTAGAAGTAATGATTATGATTTTTTTTTAAACCTTGTTATTATTAATTTCATGTTTGTATATTGAAAATATTTTTGGAATTGTCGATTATTATAAATTAATGTTAATTAAAAAAAATTATTAATAAAATAAAAGGAATAAGCGTGTGATCAAAGCTTGCCCAATATCGATAAGCAGTTCTCAATTTATATCATATTTATTTGATAAAACATTAAGAATTTGCGGGGATTTCGATTTTTACTTTGTATGTCATATTAAAGAACTATTATTAAGCTACATATTAAAATTTAAAATATTTCTCTAACAATTATTTCTCGAGGTAAACCTTGTATTTTTTTTTCTTAATCATTTTTTAAGATATTGCTATCCCTGATTTCCCACCATTTGTTTATCCCCGTTATTTGCAAGATGTTACCTTCCCTACCATCCTAAATATATAAAAATTACGGAAGATTATTTTAAATTATTTCTTTATTAAATGTCGATTGGCTTGATGGTCATTAAATGAATAAAAAACATTATATAATAATTAACAAAATTTTGAATACAAATTTTTTTTAAATTATTTTAATGGCAGTAAAAAAATTATAAAATATTTATAATAGATTAGATTAATTAATCACATGTGTGGTTAATTATTTTAGTAATAGAATAAAAAATGGTTAGGGTACCTTTTCAGGGGCAATTATTTTTGTTATTTTTAATGTTATTTTTTTATGCGATTTAAAAAATTGTAAATAAAATATGCCATTTAAATTATATTTAAGAATATTTATTTGTGTTCTTTTTTTTATTTCGTGAATTTTCTAAAAAAATTGAAATACGAAATCTATATCAAAAGTGTAATAAATATGGGAAGTGAATGTGATTAGTTAATGGGGTAAATAAGGTCGGTATTAAAAACTCTCATCTAACAATAATAACTTAATTTGGCTTTAAATTATAAATAAAAAGGTAAAACAATTATAAATCATTTAATAAAATAGCTTAAACATATGACCCGGCCGAAGGCCGGGTGAAAGCTGGCCTAGGTACAGCTAAGGGAGATTAGGAAAAATTTCCCCCCCCCTATAGGAAAATCCTTGATACGCCACTGCTTCCATATTAAATCGGTACATACGTACAATTTTACAAACTTTTATAATCATATGCATGATTTTTTGGTACTTGGTTGTCGGGGACAACCAATCAATTAAAGTTAATAAAAATTTATACCTATTAATTTAAATATATTTTTATCTTTTCTCTATTTATATAAAAATAAAAGATGCCAATTTCCGAACACTCAAACTCAAAACTAAAACGAGAATACAATTTTAAAATATAATATTTTCTCACAAAATTAACATTATGTATGTTATAATTATTATTATATGTATTGTGTTTTTACTTGTCATTATAGATTATTATATACACAAAATAAAATATTCAACTATATTTGAAAAAAAAAAAATTTTAAATTTATATTTTCTAAATTTAAAAAAAAAAATATTTTATTAATTGGTTTGGGATTTGTAAACTAAATTTTTTTATTGGGTTGTTGCTATTAAGTATTGATATGGCACTGCTATATTGAATCAGGGTAACTGAATTCCTGCATAATTATATTATGAATAATGAGATCTAAATATAACTGAAATTTTTGATAAAAATATTAAAATTTTTTCGAATAAAATAAAAATTTGTAAAAGGAATAATTTGTATTTTGTTTATTTTGATTATAACTTTTTATTCTTAAATTCGGCTACAAAACTGATTGAAGCACTAACCTTTACTAACGAAGCATTAAAGAATGATATAAGTTTCATCGTTAGTGCTTTCATAATTTTCTAGCCGAAATTTGACCTCTAAAAATTATTTTAGCGTGTTACAATTTTTTCATAACGGTTAACAAAATAAATTACGGATTATAAATATACTAATTAAGCACTAAATAATGGCGAAAACTGGATGTTTAGTACTATTATAGTTTTTGTTTTGGCACGTCGAAATTATTTGTTTTTTTCGCAAATAACTTTTTATTCTTAAATTCGGCTACAAAACTGATTGAAGCACTAACCTCTACTAACGAAGCACTAAAGAATGATATATGTTTCATCGTTAGTGCTTTCATAATTTTCTAGCCGAAATTTGACCTCTAAAAATTTCTTTAGCGTGTTACAATTTTTTCATATGACGGTTAATAAAATAAATTACGGAATTTAAATATACTAAATAAGCACTAAATAATGGCGAAAACCGGATGTTTAGTACTATTATAGTTTTTGTTTTGGCACGTCGCCATTATTTGTTTATTTTTGTTTTTTTCGTGAATAACTTTTTATTCTTAAATTCGGCTACGGAACTGATTGAAGCACTAACCTCTAACGAAGCACTAAAGAATGATATAAGTTTCATCGTTAGTGCTTCCAAAAGTTCGGCCAACTTCACGCCTAAATCGTGACGTCATAGTTTTTATGCTTATAACTTTTTTTTTATAAAGCGGTTAAGTAAATCAATAACAGAATTTAAATACACTAATTAAGCACTAAATAATGGGGAAAACCGGATGTTTAGTACTCCTATAGGTTTTGTTTAGCACGTCGCCATTATTTGTTTATTTTTGTTTTTTTCGTGAATAACTTTTTATTCTTAAATTCGGCTACGGAACTGATTGAAGCACTAACCTCTACTAACG